CGCAAGTTTTACCCTGTTATGCAACTTTTTTCGCAATAAGCCGCCTTCCTATGGATAGTAAATTGCGCAGTTTTTGGAGTGTGGTATCCATTCTGAGGTAGCTGTGGTCGAATCGGTACTGCGACCTCGACTGTATGGTTAAGTGTTCACTGAAAACAGTTCAAGTAGTAGACCTACCAGGTTGGGTTGGTGGGGGTGGGGTGGGGGGTGGGGTTACAATATATAGCTGAAAATAGTCCGGTGAGTTTATCTCAGAAGAGCCATAAAATAAGGAAATATATTACCAGCCTGTATAAATAGGTGTGTAAGCCCACGCAATTTAGTTGTACCCAAGAAGAAACTAAGAATGGAGGTTTTAATGACAGAGAAAGGACGAAAAGGGCTCCTACACAGAGAGGCTTTCACTTCAGACTGGCGGAAGTTTGCCCCCCCAAAAAGTACACGGTAACGTGGAGGTGCACAAGAACAGATTGTACTGCCACTATCACAACAGATCCAGGACACAACACCATACTGAAATCTGGAAAAGAGCACAGTTATCAACCGCCATCGGAGCATGCAGGGGAATTCTAGAAACACTAGTCTCAAACGAAAAGCGATTGAACGGTCAACTGAGAGACCATCCAAGCTTGTTTTGTCCTGAACAATGATCAGTTAAATAACAGTCTTGATAATTGGCTAACGGAAGAGTCTACTACTTCAACTTATAAGTTTACAAAAATATAATAAATATAATTTCAAGTCAATAGGCTACTGTGTCGAATACCTACAAAATACTGGATTTCAAAAATCCCTGCGCAATTTTCCAGCAGGTTTTGGAAAACTTCTTTGAACTTTTGGACAATAGGATTAAAAACCTGCGCAATTTTCCACCGCCCGCACACATGACCTCCGACATTTTTCAGGGGTTATCCGAGAAAGCTAAGTGTTAGATCCTACCTACCCTAAGATCTGGTGTGTGGCTGAAAGACAGCACTAAGAAGGAGCCAAGGAGTAGCAGTAAAAAGGCTGCAGAAAGGAGATGAAAGTGAAAGTACGACAGAACATGGTTAGAGAGCAAGAAAGGAAAAAGGAAAATATTTTAGAGCAGAAAATGTTCCGTCCCTGTCAGGTTTTGAACCCGGGACCTATTGAATGGGAGGCGAACACCGTAATCTTTTGACTACGAAAACATCCGTATTTTTTGTGTTTGAATGTGGTTTCTAATTATAATTTATGTGTATGCATGTATGTTTGCCATTGTAACCCAAATTTTCCCAAGGGGATCAAATGCATTTAAAATTACAAATGCAATTAGCTTACAATTTTGGCATTTGATATGTTGCTTGATAATGGACCCCCCCCCCCCCCCCCCCCCGATTTCCTCCATCAAGACTTGTTCGATTATTGGGAATTTGATCCATCCCTGTCATCTTCTTCAAGTTCAAGTTCCAAATCGGAAACAGTAATCACGCTTTGTCGCTTATGTCTCACTACTCAGCTTGGATGCTGAGCAGACAAAATCCCCATTCATTAAATTGATGTCATGTATGTGTCCATTCATGTATGTTCATGCTGCACCTCAATATACATGCTCGAAGACACTTTAGGGTTCTTTGATTCCACACCTTTTTTCCAAGCCTGATTTTTAAAAAAAGTCAAATTAGTGTGACTGTATTTTGGACCACTCTTAACATAGATCTAGATGGAAATTAAAATGTGTCAGATGATTCAGAATTTGTTTAGCTGCACGAATGTGTATTGTAGGGCTTTGACAAATAAATGATTGGCGATTACATTTTTAAGCTTCTTACGGACGTCACTATATAGGTGAAAATTTGCCAAATGTTTGACTATTTACCATCATGTTTTCAAAAGCAATTTCAGATACGAATGAGAGGTTTCTAAATTTTGTCTTGGCTATTTTTAGACAGAAGTGGCTGAACTTTACGAATTAGAAAACAACTTAAATCTCAGAATTGACCCCAAATCAGCAATATCAAATTTCTTTAAAAAACCTTGCTAATTCCAGAGAACATACCTCACTATTCTCAAAGAACATACTATGCTATTTTCACATAATCATTCTTGCAGCATTTTTAACTTCTACTCCTTGCCAAAGATCGTTATCATTTTTTAACCTTGTACCTGTGTGCACTAGCTTTAAGTTGGCGTTCTGGTAATTAATAAACTAGTAGCCATGCAGCACAATAAAAGTCAAAGGCTGTCTTGGCTTCCACTACTATGAGAAGAAGTTGGCAATCCAGGAAGTTTTCACCCTATATCAGTCTGCCCCGCTCATTATAAGCCGTAAGACGCACTGTGCTATTATCAGCTACGAGGCTCGAAACTCGAAAGGCAAAAAAGAGACTTTCCATGAAATTTGTGTTTTTTGATATATTGAAAGTTTGATGTCTTCTTCTTCATTTAAGATAAAAATAAACATTTATTATCAACTATAAATATTTTATATTGATTTATGTATTTTGGAGGTGTCTGTGATTTGTTGTGAGCTTGGATGACGAGATAAAGGGATTTGGACCTTGCTAGTGTGTAGCAGTGAGATTATTTTTAAAACCATTACCTCATGGCCACCTTTACTTCAACCAAACATTCTCCACTAGTGGAAAATCTTTGCTCCAACGTTCTTCATTCGCAACCACTTTTAGATTTTGACCCCTTTTCGAGCATGAACGGTCTGAAATGTAAACAACTTTGATTGGTAAAACGGAATAAAAACGGTAACTTATCCAGCTCACTTCAAGCTTGTTTATGAAACAGCTGACTGTGTGGGTGTGCCCTGCTAGCTGTTATCGTCTGTTGATCTTTCAGTTTTACACTTGGATTGACTTTAAAAATTCGTTTTTATTGTGTTTTAGAGCTTTTAAAATATAAATTAACCGTCCTCTTGATCTCTCAGAGCGGAATCCTTACCAAAATGCCACCGAGGCGGTCTATGTGCATGTGTGTGTATGTGTGTGCATGTGTGTGTGCACGTGTGCTCTCGTGTGTTTATGGTGCTGTTGCAAATATTAATATATAATCAGGTAGCGCTAGACGGTTAGTACATACAACATGTATGTATAAGAACATATAGAGGTAGCGTAAGCACGGTACGTAAGCCGACCCGCGACCTTCCGAGTGCGTGGTTTCGGTGAAATGGGGGGTAATTCAGATCTCTGTTTCCTTGCTCTTTTGGAATAAAACACAAAATGCTGAATACTTTGAAAAAGTTTAGATTTTCTTCGTTATAATACCGTAAGTTTGTTGTATATCCGGGTATTTGGAGCTGGAACATCACCGTGGAAAGGGAAGCCCCTCGATCGCGGTCGGAATGCGAGGTCCCCCGGTTCAAAATTGACAACCATGCATTCGAATGCTTTGCAGAAAGATTGATGATTAACTTTTCATTGGCGGAGAACTATACAACTTTGACTTTGTTGAGCGTGGTTTCCTGTGGTTAATATTTTTGGCTTTTGGCGTTTGGATAGAAAACCTTGAAAAAAAAAGGGTCTAAGTTTTCAAAGATCATTTTTAACACGAAATGTGTAAAATACCAGCTAAAAAATGTACCAATAGAAAGAACAGTTCTTTTTGTATTAGAATAAAGTCATCGGCTTGGAATTATTTTGCATGAATCCTGCGAAACTACCGGGAGCAGTCAGTATACTACAGTATTGAGTTAATTGAGCCGGCTCGCTCGTCGCGAAGGCTGGTGCGCAGCCGGCCGGGACAACGCTTGGTGTTTTTATTGAAATAACGACAGATCATCGTGTTTGAGGCAATAATAATATTAAACTTTATTTCCACGTTATAGTGATTGTACTCTTTTAATGTAGAGATATTTGGTGCACTTGGTACTCTTTTACTATCTGTCAAACATGGGGTTGCAGCCAGTTAACGACTTCAGCAATATTTTATTATTATGTAAAATTGAAACAGCTGCCATTCTCGTAAACATTGACTGAGAGAGAGGTAAAAGTATGGTACCAAAATTATCAGGAGACATAGGCTTTTCATATGAAATAGACGAATTTGACATACAGCTACTTTGAAAATTTAGAGTATGGTACCTAGTTCTAGTATAATGCTAATATTTTGTTTGGTCCATAAGCTTTTTTTCTCTGTAAATGAATAGTTTTCTACTTTAGAATGTTGCCTTGTAGTGGCATAGCCAATATAACTGCTAAATTTCAAGTCTCTATTCTCAATTCTAAGACCCCCATTGCTAAGGAAATATGTTGCTCAACTTTGGAGGCCATTTTCTCCTTTTCATGTTTCCTCACCTCACACAATTAAAAGTTCTGTATTTTTGTCAAACAATGTCATACTTCATTCTTGTTTTAAATTGTAGGGAAAAGGTGATAGTTTTTGACAATAATGTTAACCCAGTTTTGAAATTTCCTTCATATGACTGATATTGACCGGCATATATGTGCGAGGTCTGTTCCAGAAATTAGTTTCCCTGTTCTATAAAATCAACAAATTTTACAGTAATAAATTAAATTTTCTTTTTTTCATTAAAAAAAAGGATATTTTTGTTCACTCCCATCAACACAATTTAGATCATAAAGGAGGCAGACTTCCGATCCTTCCTGTCAGGGCCAAACTGGGCTGAGAGGGATACATCATCCCAGCAGAGAGACAGAGATACTCAACAAAAAATTCCTTCCTACTCAGGTTTCCTTCAAGCAATAACAAAGAGTATAACTGCTATACCATAGACACTGGTATTTTTTTAAAAATCTTACAGACATGAAATTTTGTACATACCTACAGAAACATGTTATCCATTCAACATAACCGTCGATCTCAATACTTTACTTTTTCATCCAACATTGCCAACAGTTAAGCGCAGTGACATCATACCCTCTCTTCAACCAGTCGTTAGCGCAGCATTTCTTTCAAACACAATTTCTTCTCATCTTCAAATCGTAGCCCCCTTTGACCTTCTTTGATTTTGGGGAAGAAATGAAAGTCACATGAAATAAAAGGACAGACTTTGTAATTCTAAAAGAATCAAATAAATTATGAAACATAGATATATATGTGTTCGTGGGTTCCAACTGAAAAGACAGCAGAATGGAGAAACCCAGGATCACCATCATCCAAGAAAGCTTGATGCAAGCAAAGTTAAGTGCTTTGAAAGTGATGCACACCACGTTTTGCCACTAAGAAAGTGTGGTTTTGAACTGGCCGGTTCCTGTTGGCACAACAGTCAATGCTGACTATTACTATTACACAGTGGTTGTTCTGACAAAGCTGAGATGAGCAATCAGTAGAAAGTGGACTGGTCTCCTTGAGCAAGGTGTGGTCTTCCATCTTGACAGCGTATCTGTGCACACTGTTTGAATGTGGGAAATCCTTGAACATCCCTACTGTTCCCTAGACTTAGTGTCATGAGACTTTCATTTCTTCCCCAATATCAGAGAATGATTAAGTGGGCAGGAATCGGAAGATAAGAAGAAACTGCTAAAAAAAATGCTGCTCTAAGAACTCTGACCAAAGTGGACAAGGTCACTGCATTTGCCTGCTGATTACATCGGATAAAAAAATGCATTGAGATCTATGTTTATTATACTGAATAGAAAATATATTTCTTTAGGTATGTACAAAATTTCAGGTTTGTAGAATAAAAATTGCTAATCTTACAGTACAGGGAAACTTTTCTGGGATAGACCTCGTGAACTAGATCTTCAAGGCAAAAATGAAAAAGAAAAACATTCTTAGTTAAACATCATTTTAATATGAAACAATATAAAAGATGTCCCTTCTCTCCAATGTCACCCAGTAGGCTGATATTTGGCCCAAACCACTCAGTAGGATGGGCACAGAGTTATAACCAATGAAAGCAGTCAATATTACTGAAAATATTCATTTAAAAAAAGGTAGATTTAAATTGTCATTAAAGGCAATAACTTTTTATAGTGTGTGTCGTAACGTGGTGGAATCAAACGCTCGTCAATTTTTGGGCACGAGTTATTGGTATAGATCTAATTTGAGTCAATAATGTTAGTCCATTTCCCTTGATTTAAATGAATAAAAAAAAACTTTCTGTCTGGAATAGAAAACGAGATATTGTGATTCAAGAAGGCAGGGTCAAATGATGTCAGAGGTAAAATTAGCGAGAAAATGGTCGTCAAAGTTTGGTGACTTCTAAAGCTGTTGTGTCCTTAGAAACTATAAATATTTACATTTTTTGTGCCTTTGATCAATATTTTTCAATAAAATTCAAGTACAAATGTGTTTTTTGGCTGATGTTTTTTTAAAGTAAGTTTTTACGCCGCTCGCAACTGCATATGGTCATATGAGCGCAAAAAGAACAAAGTTTGCTTCGACTATCAAGGCACCCTAAAAATAGCAGTTCACAAGAGAGTGACAAACATACAAAAGAAGTGGGGGGAAAATGACGATAGTAAGGATGAGGAAAGAAAAAGCAGAAAAAAATGTGTTTGTAAATGGACATACACGGTGTGGAGCCCAAAGCAAAAAACCATATAATTAAAAATTGTCCAATAGGCAGAAAAATTTCATTATTTTGACGAGTGCCTGACTTCACCACGATGTCTCACGTATAGCGGTGACATTAAGATAAACAGAAACTTGTTTTTGAAGAATTATTTGTTTTATTTTAAAAGAAAATTTCAATAAAAACAAAAACAGGATGGGACTACCGGATTAGAAGAGTTTTTTTTTTTTTCAAAACACAATAACAATTATATCACTTTTTGAAGATGACATATAAAACAAAGCTTTTAAATCAGATATATTCATAACAATAAATAAAAAATAAATAAAAATGTGTCTTGTTTTTTCCCAAAACAAGTACGCCTGTCAGGACAAATGTAGAAACACACAAGAAGTCACATGACTTGCATGCTCCCACTTTGACTCATGACTGGGCATGACAGCTATTTTGTTGCTTAAAGCTAGATATCAACATGTACCTTACGACGCAGAAACCTCGACTCGGTGGTGATAAACACAAGGACAACCCTCAAAACTCTATCCATCAACTCTGAATGACACTGAATTTATGCTGAAACAACAACATCACTATCAGTAATGTCAACCCTAAACTTTGCTGCATTTCGTTACAGTATTGTTTTCATCGTAAATTTCTAGTCGAACAGAAAAGGTCACAAAATACAATAGCAAAGAAAGACACATAGCATATGAATTCTTATTCTGTATGCATTAAACATACTAACTAAAACGAAAAATATAGAAAACGCAAAGCGTGTAGATTCGTATTCTGTTCAGATTACACATATTGGCAATTTGAAAAACACGAATATGAATTATTTAAAAAAGTGCTGGGCTAATACTAACACTGTACCACCATTTCAGTATCCAGTCTATACAAAGTACTTGTCACACACACACCCTCACTGTTGCTTATGCCTTATTTTGCTTATACATACTGACATCACCAAGGCAGCAGGAATTGGCTTCAAATGCTTAGAAATACAGCATTCACTATGCAAAAGATAGATATACGCAATTACACGCATTTGTATAAAAGTTGCTTTACTATAATAATTGAGCAAGAGCATAATTGATTACATTGTAGAATACACAAGAAATAAATAGAGTAGACGTAATATTCCTTTAAAGAAGTAATTGTTATTACCATTCAAAATTCATATTTGTTCCACTGAAACAGAAATTCTGAAGTTGTTGGGAAGTAACTGGTGCATTCCTGAGACTTGAACAAATTTTCCACAATCAATTTTTATCCAACTTTAGGCTTTACACTACGTGTAGATCATGAAGTAGACTATTTAGAGACTAAAGAAACATACTATTACTTTCCAAGTTTATTTAACAACTGAAAAAAAAAAAAGCGGCAGAACAGCCCTTTTTTCCTGCCTACAGTGAAATCAGCTTTTCAGAGGTCGGTGATTTTGTGACCATCAACACTGATGTGTGTAAGCAATAAATAAAAATTATTGAACAGTAACAAGAGAGGGCAAGTTTCTATAGGCGCTCTGTACACTGTACTGTAGCATCTAGCTTTACAGTGCTTCCATTTCAGTTTGTGATGCAATATGATTTAATCTTTCTCATATGCCAGTCATCATAAAATTACTCTCTACGAGGATCTGTATAGTTGTCTTTTTCTTATCTATACTATATTTCAATGTTTCATCCACTTCTCAGATGACTTTTTTGTAATAGCCTCTTCGACGTTCATACACTGATACCTAAATATTTCTGTCCCTGCAGACCGAGCACGGAGGAAAATAAGATAAAAGAGTCTTTGTGAGAGACATAAAGTCCCACCTAGCATTACCATCACCTTATCTAATTCCCTACCACTAGTCACATTTTACAACCTGCACGATCAATGCTTCATGACCATGAGACGCATCATGCAGTTGGGTGATCTTCAAACTCACACCAAACCGCTAATTTATACTCTTATTACTTTTTCTTTAGACTGTCAGTAAGAAAATCCAATTCCCTACCTTTTTAATATGTAACAGTCGTAATACCTTTGAGCTTCTAAAAGATTTAGAACAAAAAACCCCCAACACTTTTTCTCTTTAGTCAGGCAGGAAAACATGGTGGCCAAAACGGCCTGGCTAGAGTGAGGAAAATCCTTTCTTTTGCCATAGTATTTAACCCACAAATTAAAAAGATTTGTTCTATAGAGTCAACAATACCACAGACCTGTAACAGGAAGCGTAAAACAATCAGTGAACAAATGCAGAACAATTAAAGTCTCCCCCTGAACATCAACACACAAGGTGAAGTATGATCCGAGGCTCTGCTTAACATAAACAAAAGTTCTGGCCAGATAAAGAAACAAGAAAGCAAAGGTGTAAAAGAACAAACAAAAGCAACATATCAACAAAGTCTCAGGCAGAATGTGTGAACTGAGATTATACAGGAACTTTGGATAAAAGCAACATAATATATCCATGTAGTCTACCCAGGGAATTGACATCCAGCCAAACACACACACACCCACGACACAAGTACAAGCACACGGACATGTGCGTGAACACATGCAGCCTTGTGATAAAAGCAAATACCGACACATGCCAGCACACATGTACACACACACACAGGCATGAACTTGGACATATAGTAGAAACTAAGCACAAACACACACACAAACAGATTCACAAATAGGCACACACATACACATGTAAAATAAAACACACACAATCTTTTCTAAGCATCACATAACTCCAGCACACCTTGCCAGCATGGTCAGATAGCCTCCAAACAAGCACTCAGAAGTCATGTCCCTAATACAGGGAATTCATCATCACACACACACACACACACAAAACTGTAAAAAAAATTTAAGTAAAAAAAAAGAAGGAAGGGTAAAATATCCTAAAATTTCCTGGATTCTGAAAACATACAGATAATAAGTGGCATCCCTCCTGTCAGTGGTCAAGAAAGTGAGCTATGAATTCGCACAGTACTGAAGGAACCAAGGTAATTACCAAGTCGCAGTTCAGCAGAGTGTGTTTATTATAAATGAGAGACGCTACAGATTTTTTTTCTGATGCTTCCACATTTGCTTTCCACCCCAGTCATTCAAACCCTAAGGCAAAGAGAGAAGTATGGAAAAACCCAATATCACCCATGTCACCAGAGGCAATACTAAAAATTTTGAACATATGCACTTGAACAATACATATCAAGGAATGACTTTTGTAAACATGAAGAACATTGCGCTACAAGAGAACCATTAGAAATGCCCATGTGCAAATCCACAACAACATTACATACAGTGCTTTCCTTGATACCAAAACTCCTTGTCCAACCCTTCATGCAAAGACACTTCCAGAGCCTACATTTCCATCTCAACTATTTGCTTCTTCTTCCTGTTCTCCCACAGTCCTGTGAGCATCACATGCATCCTCAAAACGCGAGAAAATCTCTCTCACGGTCAGCATCACAAGCCCCCCGAAACAGTCCAAGTCCATATCCAAGATGATATTGTTATTGAAGTTTCAACAAACTTAAAGAGCTGACCAAAATTTGCAAGGCTTTAAGTACAAGTGAAAACCATTCACTGTCGTTTCAACGCAACAAATCCAGAGAAAACAAAGCTAGAACCAGCAGTGAATTGTCCAAGGTTAACGCTTACCAAGAGAAGAATCAAATATGCGTGGGTTAGCATATTTTGGAATACTGCTGGAGAGGGTTACAAAAAATGTGTACATCACAACAGAGTAACCCTTGTAGAAAAATAAAAAGTCCCAAATCAACTTCTGAGCTAACAGACAAAACTAAAGTTAGTGGAGAAACCACCAGCATAGTGTTATTATGTCAAAGTGTGGTCTTCATGTCAAACAGTAAAGCTTGTTCCACAAATGAGATGGTAAAATAAAAGCTAAAATAAAATTGCGTAGAAAATTTCTAGACAGCATGCATTGTTCATGTAAAGGCTTAACTCCACAAGCTTAATGCTATTTCACCAAATTTAAAAAATCAGAAACAGTACCAAATCAACCCAGGACACATCACACCGAAAACACACATCCCCAAAAAGCGACAGAGCAATGACCCGATGTTCCTGTGTACCACACGAATTCTCAGCTGGCGTCCAGCCACTCACTATTTACAATTCATCACTGTCATAACACAACTGCTTAAATAATTTTTCTTTAGGTTTCTTGTTATCCATTTAGCAAAAAAGTCTGTTACTTAATTTCAAACAACAAAAATAACAGGATTTTGTTTCATATACTAAAAATCCAATTGTTGAGACATTTCCACTTTTGTTCAAGTCATAAGATTAACGATTGTAAACACTATTTTTTAAAAATACACTTTTACAAAATAACTAAGACAAATGTGTTATGACTATGATGAAATGCTCTATTTCTTGCTCTGTGTCCACCTCACAGCTTAGACGGCAGATGGACATTGTCTGGCTCCTGTACAGCAGCGTCCCCGATGTCCTGTCCTATCATCAGGTTATTGTTGCCAAAGATGTTGTTGGGGTCGATGTAGCGTTTCACAGCCTGCATGGCCCCGATCCCGATGTTGCCCACTGTCTTGTGCAGGTACTGTTTGCGGATTTTGCCAACTGTGAAGGATAGCAAAGAACATTCCTCCTTAGTATTATTTACTAAAAATATACCCCTAGAGTGAGTCCCCCTTCATAGACGGAGTTTGAGGCCACAATAGCAATGCATGACGGGTTTCCTCTCAGTGAATATTATAGATTAGGATGAGGGAATACATGTTGAAAACTTAAACAGATGAAAAAAGCTATGTCACCTAAAACTTTTTTTTTTTAAATAAGAGTTTTACGGCACTTGCAACACAATAAGGTCATATAAGAGCCGAAGATTAGAGGTATTACAAGACAAGAGTAACAAACACAAAAAAGATAGAGGAAAGATAAGGACGATAGTTTGACAGGAAAGAAGGAACAAACCACACCAGAGCACACGCCAACCACCCACTCCTAAAACTTTAAAAGTTTTTGTAGTTTATCAATCTGCTTCCATTACCAGTAAGTGTATATATGTATACAGAACACCTCATGACATAAAGGTGACCAGGTAACACAACAGTTAGACCCCACCATATGTGAATAAGAATCACTCAACAGGCAGCACAGAGGCTTGACTCATGAATGCCATCAGTATCATTGGGGGACAAAATAAGTTATCGGCGGTGTCAATTCTTATAGTGTATACCCTAAATCAAGCCAGGTACTTCTTTGTCAAACATCAGGTTATTTACAACTGTTATTACAATTGGTGATAAAATAATCAGTAAAAAGTACACTCGACTCAAAATTTTGGACAGTTCTGGAAAATAACAGTAAAAAAAGTTCGACCAAATTTGGTGGATGAATCGTTACAACTTGGCACACACAATATATTCCTGAGCGAGCCTTATAAAACACATCTACTTTACGATGCAACAATAGAAAAGACCAAAAAAAAAAGACAGCACAGTCCAAAATCATTGTCATTGTAAAGAAGTGGGTTCTGGCCAATTTCTCATCAAATAAAACATATATTTCCACATTTAAAAAAGGTAGCTGTAAGTTGTTAGGGGACAAAGAGTCTGTGACCATGCTCACTTCAGGAGACTTGTTTACACATATAATAAGCGCAAAGCTATGGAAGGGGGGCTCTCATGGTCTAGAAGTTATGGTGTTTGCCTCTCATTCAATAGGTCCAGAATTCGAATTCAGAGAACGATAGAAAATTTTCTTTTCCAAAATGTTCTCCTTTCCTGCACTCTATCATTTGCTTTTGTCTCCACTTTCTGCCCCCTCCTCTGGGCTATTGACTCTTTCTGCAGCTTTTCTACTGCTACTCCTTGGTTCCTTCTCACTGCTGTCTTTCATTCACACCCCTGATCTTACGGTAAGTATGATCTAACACCTAGCCTTCTTGGATAGCGCCGAAAAATCTCAGAGGTTCCATGTGCAAGTTGTGAACGTTAAAGATCCCTTGGTGGTCGAAAATCGATAAGAGTAGGCTTCCCCCACCACCCAGGTAAAATTCAAAATTTCCTACCAACAGAAAAATGTTTAATATGTCCCGCAGGCCCATATGACAGTATGCAGTTGTGAGCGCTGCAAAACACTTACTTTAAAAAAAAGAGAAAGCGGTGGAAAGAAACTCAATCGTTGGAAGCTTACCTCCGTGATGATGAGAGATACTGCCACCATTTGCCATGATTTCTTCTCTACCACAGTTCTGAAATCCACAAAAAAACCCTCACATAATATGAAATGATCAAAATTAACAAAAGCAAATAAAAGATGGGCTCACTAAAATACATAAATGGCCTGATATTTTTCTTTGAGCACAAAGCAATCTGTAGTCCTCTGCATTTGGGCAGACATACAATGCATAATTCTGGAAGGTTCTCTTCACTCTTTATGCCAACAAATAACCTTTGGTCCTTGCAGTTCTGACATGTGTCATTTTTAAGGGCCAGGATATCCGGGAAGTGGGAGGAAAATTCTCTTTATACACTGGTTACACACCAGAGCATCATCAATAGTAAGTCTACACTACTTTCAAGTTTACCTTTGAGCCCATCAGAGGTTCAGTTACCGTTTTTCACTTGTCATCTGTGTATTGAAACCTGAGCTAAAGCCACTATTTATTTCAAAGGTCATGAAAACTTAAATAAAATAGAACTTCGTTCATTTCTGAGTCCAAACAATATAATATTATGTTTCATTTACAGATCAATCCAAATAAAAATGCGACAAGTTTATTAAAAGTGTCACTACGAAACACAAATATAATTTCTGCAAAACTTCCACTGACGGCACACTGAGTGTTATTGTACCACTTGTATAAGGGTTAAAAGCAGGTTTTGCAATTCTCCTTATCTACTTTTTGAAAAGTGAGGGAAAAAGCGGAGTGAAAAAACAATGTTATCAATAGGAAATGTTCTCAGAAAGAAGGAATCCAGCCAGTTTACATAACCTCTTTGTAACCTAAATGACGTACGACGTTCGTAATTTTTTCTTACACGGCGAACGAGCCAAGACGCTGCTGTAACGTACGCCATTCGTTATGCCTTGTGAAGTGCAAGGACCATGATGACGAATGCCACACTGCTTCTATTAAGTGCATTTTGTAAAACTAATCACAGATTTACATTCGTATTAGGGTTTGTGCTGGAAGCTGTTTCCAGGAGTAACTTCTGCTTTCAAACAATTTTAAAACAAAGAAAGCAATAGCATGTCAAAACAAATTCTACTGCTACATCCATGTGGTGATATTATCCGCAACCTCAGCAATTTTTGTTTAGTTTTCTTAACCCCTTCGACTGCTGTTTCGTCAGTCACTCCATCAACCTTCAAATCAATCAGAAAAAACATCCACCAAAGTTTGAAAACAGCTTTCATAACAATCGCTACTTTACACCAGTTCTATCTTATCTCATCTTGATGTGTTTTCTCTATCTTATTCCCTCTCATCTCCATGTGCTTCAATCTTATCCTTTCTCACTTTCATGTTTTTAGATCTTTTCTCGTCTCACCTTGTGTTTTCTCTTTTTTCACCTCCATGTATTTTAATTTAATCTTATCTCACCTTGATATGTTTTGATCTCCTCCTATCTAAACTCCAATAAGTTTCCATCTTATCTTATTTTGATGTCTTTCGAATTCATTTTATGTTACCCCATCTTGGATCTTTCATTTCCTCTTCCAGCCACGACAATCTTTTTCCTTAACCTTCCCCTCGGATGTGTTTAGACCTTATTTGTCTCACCTCAATGTGTTCATACACAGCAACAGGGTCACTGATGCCACGGTAGTTGAAGCCAAAGTAGAAATACACGGCAGCCCCAGCGTCATACGTCTGGGTCACCCTGAAACAATCAAAGGAGACCAGATGGTTCACTTTCAGTCTGAGTAAAGAGAACGAACATGCTGGTCAGACAGATTCGTTTTTTAGTTCTAGAGAGTTTTAATGCACTTGCAACAAAAACAGAT